AGTCGACTGGCTAGCTCAGGACAGACCCAGCTGGCAACCGGGTCTATCTTCCTTAGCCGGAAGGGTAACAGACTCAGTTTCCTGGGCAGGACCTAGCACCCCTCCAAACTAAAATTGCTCAATTTACCTGCTTACTTGCCTCAATTGGATGCTGGGAATGGCAAATTCTGTGGCGGCAAGGAGATCTGCAAACCAAATCGATGAGCATTTGATCAATTTTCCAAGATTTCTCACGAATTTGGTGCGGCCCTCCTTGTACGGTTTTTGGAAGAACTTGATGTGAATTTCTCTCAATTTTTCCCTCTCTTTCTAAAATTAATCGGTGATTCCTTTTTATAGTCGTCAAAGGCCTCGTGAGTATCGTTGAGGCTAGGTGTTATACAAATTTTGGACTGGAATCGATGATTCTAGTGTGTGGGTTAGTGAACGACCCACTTCAATTTTTTTTTTTTTTTTTTTTTTTTTTTACAGTCATTACACTATCTCCTTTACTGTAGAAAGCATTGAAAGAAGAATACAACTAGAGGGAGTGATTTGCAAGAGGTTTGAAGACACTCGACCATAGGGAGAGGAGTGCCTTCTACTTGATAAAACACTCAAAATGCCAAGAAAAGGGAAAGAGACTAATACTAAAGTAGTTTATGGTTCAATATGAACCGGGAGAATTGGTTGGCTGTATTCAACAACTAAACCCAAAAAATTCCATCACGAAGGAGTTGATTTTTCTAAAAAAATCTGAACCTAGGAAACTGATTATTTCCCAAAAAATCAGAGTCACAGTAATCAATTTTACAACAAGCACAGTAATTAATCCATTTTAATAAATAATTATTTAAAAATCTATTTTGATAAATAAAAAATATTAATATAAATTTGCTCACATATCAGTTCCTATTGAAACACAAGTTATATATAAAAACTAAATTTTACAAGGAATGGCCTAACCTCTTGATGAAATTATATCTATTTGTATTTATCGTCCAGAAAAGTAGAGATTATCAATAGGATATGACATGTATTTGACAAGAAGTTCAAATTTAGTATATTAATAATTTTATTATCTGTTCAAGACTAGTCATCAAATAAAAAAAAATCACCGAAACAACTCAATTCTTTTATTAAATCTAAATAATATGAAATTATGAAAATTATAAGGGTGTTCAAGACTAGTCATCAAATAAAGAAAATCACCAAAATAACTCAATTTTTTTATTAAATTTAAATAATATGAAATTATGAAAAATTATAAAGGTCGAAATAGTGAAAAATATGTCTATTAAAATATATTAAACTAACATTTACACTATTAAATAAATAGATAAAATTAAGACTGCCCCTATCTACACGCCCACCAATCCAGAAGACCTTTCGCTTTCGTGGAATTTTTGCAGTCAAGTTTGAAGTTGTATGACTTGGAATATGGGTTTCCAAAGACCTGGAAGAAATAGGACCAGCAGCTAACGCCTCCATCGAGGACTTGGGTCTGTCGGGTTTTACACGGGGAAACGTTTTGCTATTTTGATTAATGGTTTTTAAAATTAGTAATTATAAAATATATTTCATATAAATAATTTCTATTTCTGTCGATTTCCTTGAAATTAAATAATTTTAATTACGAATGATTATTTTAATATTTAATTTCTAACAAATAATAGAAATTATTTTACAATTAAAATAAAAGATGAGAGTTGAAAAGAATATTTTGCATTTTGCACTCTTAAAATAGGAGATTTTGGCTCTTTATATTAAAAAATTTTAAATTTGGGACTTTACACCCTAAAAATATGGGTATTTAGGACTTTACATCCAAAATTTTAAATTTGACTCCAAAACTTTCCAAAATTACAAAAATTACACTTTATCTTTGATTGTTCATTAAAAATAAGAATAAATTTAGAATTCATATAAATGAAGAGTAAAAATATCATAAAAAATTTGAATCCTTCATTTGTTTTATTATTTTTACTCAATTTAATAAATTTTCACTCAATTTATACACATATTAGTGACATGTCAAAGATTAAAAACCTGAAAGGGCAGGTGGCCAATCCGCGTTATCAATTAAGGCTGATTGATGCCACCACCCACTTCCTTCCCAAAGAAGATAAGATGCAATAGATACGCGTTGGATACGGATCCTCCGCCCTTTAAAAAAATTGAAAAAAAAAAAAAGAAATTAAGGGCACGTTTAATTTCAGAAAATATTTTTTATTTTATTTCTTATTTTATTTTTTATATTTTTTATTTAATAACTTTAATTTTACATTAGTTTTATAGTTTATTCTTTTCTTCATATTACTTTCCAATATTCTAATTTTTTCATATCAACATTTATCTCAAAAATAATATAAAAAATATATCTCAAAACTATATGCCAAAATAATAATGTCTTTGATATTATTGTTTTTGAGGTTTCAGCTGTGTTAAAATAAAATATGTCAAAACATAGAAAATTAACCTTTTTAATTTATCTTTCAACTGTCCAGTGCTAAACTCCTAACCAAACAGCCTAAAATCTTTGGAGACATGTCTCAAATTTTCTCTCCAAGACAAATTACAATATAATTTTATTTATTAAGAAATTGGTTGCTTCAACGGCCAATCAATAAGCAAATTATTATTATTATTATTGGCATGGTTCCACAGCGACTAGCCCACGGTACTTCATGATAGCGAATATACAAAATAAATAAGAAAAATTTGTTTATTGCTAAGACATCTTTACCAAATTAATCACTATTGCTAAAAATATATTTTTAGAAAAAAATAATTTTAGATATTTGGTCTCAAATCCTCTAGTGCACTTTCTGTATAATATAAAAATATTTGAAACATTTATAAATGAAATCAACATCCTAAATTTATTTGTAGCTAACAGAGGATTTTAAAACATAAGATAAGACTCCTCCTTAACAGAACTTGATTTAAGGCCTTCAAGAAATCGAAATAAAATATATTAAACTGATTAATTTGTGATTTAGTTTAATTTAATTTGGTTAGCAAAAAGATATTTAATTTACTTTAATTTATAATATGATCATTAAATAAATTATATAATTTGAATTGAATTGCATAATTTATATATATACAAAAGTAAAAATTATATATACATATATATTATTTCACTCTACTTTTTTCTTTTTTATTAATATTTATATATTTTATATAACTAGTTATTTTTCTTCTTTGAAAATGATTTTACTAGTATAAAATCAAGTTCTGTTATTTTGTATAAATATAATTACTGTATAATACATAATTATTATGATTAATTGATAAATAATAAATTTATTAAATTAAATAAATTGAAAAAAATTATGAATATTGAGTTTTGGGGAATAACTCTATTAAAGTTTTTGTAAAAATAATAAATTTTATTTTTTCAATTTACAAATTGTAATTTAAAATTAAATCAAAGCATAAATCATAATTTATTTTATTTTAAAAAATTAGTAATTATAAAATATAATTTAATTTATAATTAAACTACAAACCGAAACCAAACCCCACCCCAAAACACGCCAACCACAGTTGCCATCTTATCTTATCCTGCGGTGGAGCCAGTTGAAAAATTCTTAAACATGCCACGCGACTATGACAAAAATTAATGAAAAATAAATAAATAAATAAACTGCCCACCGTATAAAAGCCTCAGTTGGGCAGCTCTCTGTCCTCTCAAATCTCTGCTCTAAAATTCAAATGGAGATTCACATTCAAACTCCCCTCTCACTCATCCTCCTCCTTCCTTTCTTCTTCTTCACCTTCCTTCCATTATCATCCCAAGCATGCCACCAAGTAGACAGAGACGCATTGCTGGATTTCAAACATTTAATCAATTTCAACCCTATTCATCTCTTACAAACGTGGACACCCTCCACCAATTGCTGCGCTACCTGGGATGGCGTCGCCTGCGACCCCTCCTCTGGCAGAGTCGTCAATGTCTCCCTACCAGCTCTCTCTGACAAGGTTCACTTCATGAACGGAACTCTCTCTCCTTCTCTCGGCAACCTCTCTTTCCTCCAGCTTCTAGACATCAGCCATCTCAAGCAACTCTCCGGCCCAATCCCTGCTGAGCTCGGAAAACTTTCACGCCTCTCTTACCTTTACCCTTGTAACAACGGTCTCTCTGGTGAGATTCCGGCGTCTCTCAGGCGACTCGCCCGGCTGAAGGATACTTCATTTGATTTGGAATCTTTTATCTGGCTCTATTCCTTCGACTCTGTTCGATTCTATGCCTCTGCTTTATGATCTGGATCTTTCGGATAATAATCTTTCTGGCGTGATTCCTTCTTCGATTGGAAAATTGATTTCTCTAACCAGTCTCAACCTACAATCAAACAGGTTCTATTTATGTTAGATATTGTGCTTTTTCCGCCCCATAATGCACTGAAAATATGATTTTTTTACGTAAATTTAGCTTTTTCTTTCTCCAGTTTTTCCAAATTCAATGAATATTATATTTTCTCAGCTTAATATATTTTTAAGTCTTTACCATATCTAATCCAATTTTTGATGTGAAAAATAGATTTTGTACTTATTCTAATTTTTGGAATCAGAGGACCGCACGGATAGCAGTTTCCATACCTTCTGCGGAAAAATTTTCAAAAAGCAAGTTTCGGAATTATCATAAATTATTTTAACTTAGAAATGAAAGGGGTATTAATATGAAAACAAAAGAGTGACGAAGATTTTAATTATATTTTGTTTTTGGAAACACAATAAGAAAAGCTCAAGTAATTAAATTATATCTAAATTTTGACATGTATTACAATTTCCACGAAAACAGGTTCTCGGGTAATATTCCAAGGAGCATTGGCAAGCTCAAGAACCTCCGATTCCTTTATTTTTCTGAAAATCAATTTGGTGGAAGCATCCCTTCGTCCATATTCGGTCTTGCTTCGCTGGAAGATCTTGATTTAAGAAATAACAACCTCACCGGAAAATTACCATCGTCCATCGGAAAGCTCACCAATATCCGGACGCTATTTTTTGATAACAACATGCTCACTGGAGAGCTCCCTACGACCATCGGAGATCTCACCAATCTTCAGGGTTTATACCTGTCGGGGAACCAATTCTCCGGTGAAATTCCAATTCAGCTTGCCAAGTTGGGCGATTTAGAATACTTGGACCTGTCAAGCAATGAATTGACAGGGAAATTGCCTCCGTGGATCGGAAACGTGACAAGCCTCTCCGATCTAAACCTCTCCTACAACGGCTTTCATTCGTCAATCCCACATGAATTCAAGAACTTGTCAAGGCTGAATGTCCTTGATCTCCATTCAAATGAGCTCTCAGGACCAATAAACACGATTTTTGACAAAAAAATTGACGACTTATTTGGGAATTTTCTAACCATCGACCTCTCCAACAATAAATTTTCGGGTCCCATAGATGAAAATATCGGTGAGAAACCAGCCATGGCCCCTATTACATCTTTGATTTTATCGAACAACCCGTTAGGAGGAATGATACCGAGGTCACTTGGGAACTTAAGTAGGTTGCAGGTAAGCGTTCCTTTTGTGTAATAATTCTATGTTCGTATCAAAGTATTCTAAAAATTTTATTAAAATTATAAACAATTGCAGGTTTTAAAAATGGCGGGGAGTGGACTTTCCGGCCTGTTCGAACGTTGATTACCAGAGAGTTTGATTGTAAGTTAAATTTTATAATTATGTTTTGCAGTCACAATTTTTAAGTTACAGTAACTCTAAAAAAATTTTTTAGATGGTGATGTTTCTGACTTATGTATATTTCTACAATTATTTCAATGGTGTTGACTTGGGATGGCCATGTTATGCCTCTGTTAGCCCTTGTTTTTGAGCCAAGTTGCTCCGGCAATTAGATTAAAATTTTTCTTTAAATTAGAATTAAAGTTTTAGTAGAATTAAAATATTTTCTCTTTATATCTTTATTTAATCTTCATATTAATTATTTAGATCAAAATATTATTAAAACCTTAAAAATTTGTCACTCCTATCAACACTGCGCAAAAATTCCAGTTACTAGTTTCCTTGAAAAACTTCAATTAAATTTATTAAAAAATTTAATAAATTTCTTCATTTTTTTGTGAAGGTATATTTTAATGTTATTTTTCATGATTATGAATTAACGAGCAAACTTTCCTACATTAATATATTTCTTTATCAACAATAATTACATTATATATACACACATACATTTTTTGAGATATACAATATATTGTCGAAAAAAATTAAGGAAATTTTAGTTGCATATATTTATATATATTGAAGGGTAATTTTGGTAATAAAAAATTATGAAAGGTACTAAATCTCACCTCTTTTTGGTGGGATAACAAAATGATATTTTAGCAATGGTTATTTTTCATTAATTATTATAAAATTGTATCTTTGTTTTACTATTTTAAAATTATCTAAAAATTAAAACAATTCACACAAATCGTCATTTCTTGTCATTGCTTACCAAATCATTTCGTCCTAATGCAATCTTAGAGTATGTTTGTTCATAAGGTGATAAATGATAAAAGAAAAATGTGACCTTCGAATAACTTAAGTGGTGACAAATGATCAGAATTTATAACAATTGATGGTAAATAAATTTGTTTTAAAAAGTGATTTTTTTTGTCATTATAAATTGTGGGATTTTGTGACAAAATAATTTAACTTTCAATAATTTTTTTTGAATCATCGAAATTACCATTGCATATCCACAAAGTATAATACAAAATTAAAAAAAAAAATAATTTAATAAAAGATTCTTATTGTTTACACTTCTCCTGTAACTATATAAAAAATTTAAAAAGTAAAATAATTCGACAAAAGATTGTTGGTATGAAAAGTTAGTTCATTATAGCCGCATACTTAATTTAGTGATAGAGGTGCCATTTGAATATGCAAATAACTTTTGAAAAGCCAAACACTAAATAAAGACAAAAAAGAATTATATAAATTAATAAATAATGTGATTTAATAAATTTTTTAGAAATAACATTAAATAAATAAAGATGATGTTAATCTACATATATTTTATTAGTAAGTTATAAGTTTTGTGATTTTTATTTTGTCAACCATATACCTTCATAAAATTTGTACAAGTTGAAATTTATAATCTTTCAAAATAAATAAAAACAATAAAATGTCTAAAATGAAAAATTAGGGATGATCACGGCTTGGTTTTTGTTAGCTTTTTATAAAATTATACATATTAATTATTTTAATTCTTTTAGTGTTAAAATCAAAATCATGTTTTTTGATACCTGTATCCTTATTTTGGTTTTATTAAGTTTTGGTACAATTTTTTGTAATTTTTTTAATTATATTAAAGTATTTAAATAAATTAATAAATTGTTTACAAAATCGTACAAAAAATATCTATTTAATATATAACTAATACGAATAAATCAAATTATTTCAAGATTATAATATTAATAATTTTTTACATTTAAAAATTTAATTTTAAAATTTTCATTAATAACCATTTATAACGAACCGGGAACCAAACTATGAACGAACCGGCTCGGAATTGGAACCATGACGAACTGGAACTGTGAACCGGCATGAACCGTAACCGGAATCGGACCGGCTTTCAAGGTTTCGGTCCTGGTTCATATTTTTCCGGGACCGAAATCGGAACTGGCTGTCCGGTTCCGGTCCAAGCCGGTTCAAGGCCCGTGAACAGGTCTAAATATAGGTCTAGGAGACCTTTATCAAGAGAGAGATTTTCAAGAAGTTGAGAGGGAGAGATGCTCTACAATTCTTAAATCAAGAAGTTATCTTGATAGAAAAGCCTATAAGTTGAGAAAAGTGCTTTTGGATTACTAGCATAATCCTAAGCACTAGTGGACGTTTCCCGTGTGAATACTATTAAAGGAAGTGCATTTGAACTTCTTGTGAACCGTTCCAACTTACGTGCTGGTTTGCTGACGTACGAATTTGAATTCACTCAATCCCTATATCAGTCGGAAGCTTGTGAGGTATAAATCAATTTTCTTATATTAAATTCATGCATATTGTATTTTGGGGTATAGAATTAGAGATTTAACGTGATTCGATCACATAATAAAAGATAAAAATTTTAAATTTTCACTGCCTTAAAATTCTCTATTTTTAATGTGAAACCCAACACTCCTCAGATTCCTCAATTAAACCCTTGTCTCTGAATTTATTCATCAACACCCCCTATAACTCCTAATTAAGCCCCAATTACCCAGATTCTCACAATTTCACCCCCCCCCTAACCTACTACTCAATCCCTTATCTTATTTAGTCGAGCCATGACAAATAGCTATGACTTGGACTACTCTTGATCCACTCTTAACTAATTGTATAAAGAATTGCTATCTCCTTTACCGTAAAAAACATTGAAAGAAGAACACAACTAGAGGGAGTGATTTGCAGGAGGTTTGAAGACACTTGACCACAGGGACGGGAGTGCCTTCTACTTGATAAAACACTCAAAATGCCAAGGAAAAAGGCAAGAGACTAATACTAAAGTAGTTTATGGTTCAATATGAAACGGGAGAATTGGTTGGCTGTATTCAACAACTAAACCAAAAAGAATTCCTTCAAGAAGGAGTTGATTTTTCTAAAACTATCTGAGCCTGGGAAACTGATTTCTTTCCCCAAAAATCAGCGTCCTAGTAATCAATTTTACAACAAGCACAGTAATTAACCCATTTTAATAAATAATTATTTAAAAAATTATTTTGATAAATAAAAAAATATTGATATAAATTTGCCCACATATCAGTTCCTATTGAAACACAAGTTATATATAAAAACTAAATTTTATAAAGAATGGCCTAACCTCTTGATAAAATTATATCTATTTGTATTTATTGTCCAGGGAAGTAGAGATTATTAATAGGATATGACATGTATTTGACAAGAAGTTCTGATTTAGTATGTTAATAATTTTATCATTTGTTCAAGACTAGTCATCAAACAAAGAGAATCACCGAAAACAATTCAATCTTTTATTAAATCTAAATAATATGAAATTATGAAAAATTATAAGGGTGGAAAGAGTGAAAAATATGTCTATTAAAACATATTAAACTAACATTTACTCTATTAAATAAATAGATAAAATTAAGATTGCCCTATCTACCCGCACCTATTCCAGAAGACCTTTCGCTTTCGTGGAATTTTTGCAGTCAAGTTTGAAGTTGTTTGACTTGGAATATGGGTTGCCAAAGACGTGGAAGAAACAGGACCGGCAGCCAACGACTCCATCGAGGACTTGGGTCTGCCGGGTTTTACACGGGAAACATTTTGCTATTTTGATTAATGGTTTTTAAAATTAGTAATTATAAAATATATTTTATATAAATAATTTCTATTTCTGTCGATTTTCTTGAAATTAAATAATTTTAATTAAAAAATCTTCATTTTAATATTTAATTTTTAACAAATAATAGAAATGATTTTACAATTAAAATAAAGGATGAGAGTTGAAAAGAATATTTTGCACTTTGCACTCCCAAAATAGAAATTTTGGCTCTTTACATTTCAAAATTTTAAATTTAGCATTTTACACCCTAAAAATAGGGGTATTTAGTACTTTACACTCAAAATTTTAAATTTGTCAATTTGTACCCAAAAAATTAGAGGTTTTTGGCACTTTACACCCAAAATTTTAAATTTGACCTAAAAACCTTCCAAAATTACAAAAAATACACCCTATATTTGATTGCTCATTAAAAATAAGGATAAATTTAGAATTTCATGTAAATGAAGAGTAAAAATATCATAAAGAATTTGAACCTTCATTTTTTTTGTTATTTCTACTATATTTAATAAACTTCCACTCAATTTATACATATATTAACGGCATGTCAAAGATTAAAAAATTTAGTAATATTCAAATTTAAAATTTAAAACTAAAAATAAAGTTTTGATAAAAAATATAAAAAAATATTGGAAGTAGCTATTTTAGTTCTTAATTTAATAATTAAAAATCTTAATCTGTACAAATTAAGAACTAATAATTATTTATGTATAAAATACTAGACAAATTAAAAACTACAATTACTACTTCAAATAATTATTTTTGTATAAGAATTAATAATTATTTCTATATAAAATACTAGACAAATTATAAACTACAATTGTTACTTCAAATAATTATTTTTGTATAAAATATCTAAATAAATTAAGAATTAAAATAATCACTTCAAATATTTTTTATATTTTTTTATCAAAACTTTATTTTTAGTTTTAAAATTTTGAATATGAAGAAAAATTACCGTCCATATGCATTAAAAAAGTTAATTTATTTAGTTTAGATTCTAATTAGAAACATAATTTTGAAGTAGTTATTATAATTTTTAATTTGTCTAGTATTTTATACATAAATAATTATTAGTTTTAACTTGTAACAAATTAAAACTTTTAGTTTTTAAATTAAGAACTAAAATAGTCACTTCAAATATTTTTTTATACTTTTTATCAAAACTTTATTTTGGTTTTAAGGTTTTAAAATTTTAAACAATATCAAATTTTTTAATATTTTACATACCGTTAATGTGCATATAAATTGAGTGAAAGTTTATTAAATAAAGTAAAATTAATAAAATAAATGAATGATGGTTCAAGTCTTTTATAATTTTTTCACACTTTATTTATATAAAATTTTAAATTTACCTTTAATTGTAACGAGCAATCAAAGATATAGTATATTTTTTTGTAATTTTAAAAAAATTTGATGTCAAATTTAAAATTTTAAGACATAAATGTTAAAAATTTTTATTTTAAAATATTAAACATCAAATTTATAATTTTAAATATAAAATATCAAAATTCTCTATTTTAGAATTGCGATGCGCAAAATATTCTATTTGAAAATTAATTTTTCCCCGTGACCGATCCAAGTCACCGCCCTTTACTTTCTACAGAGATAAATGTGAAACACGAAAAGGCAGGTGGTCAATCCGCGTTATCATCAATTAAGGCTGATTGATGCCACCACCCACTTCCTTCCCAAAGAAGACAAGATGCAATAGATACGCGTTGGATACGGATCCTCCGCCCTTTAAAAAAATTGAAAAAAAAAGAAATTATGGGCACGTTTAATTTCAGAAAATATTTTTTATTTTTATTTCTTACTTTTATTTTTTATATTTTTTATTTAATAACTTTAATTTTACATTAGTTTTATAGTTTATTCTTTTCTTAACATTACTCTCTAATATTCTAATTTTTTCATATCAACATTTATCGCAAAAATAATATACAAAAATATATCTCAAACCTATATGTCAAAATAATAATGTCTTTGATATTATTATTTTTCAGCTGTGTTAAAATAAAATATGTCAAAATATAGAAAATTAATTTTTTTAATTTATCTTTCAACTGCCCAGTACAAAGACTCCTAACCAAACAGACTAAAATCTTTAGAAACATGTCTCAAAATCTCTCTCCAAGACAAATTTCAATATAATTTTATTTATTAAGAAATTGGGTGCATCAACTACCAATCAATAAGCAAATTATTATTATTATTATTATTATTGGCATGATCCCACGGCGACTAGCCCACGGTACTTCATGATAGTCAATATACAAATATAAATAAGAAAAATTTGTTTATTACTAAGACATCTTTACCAAATTAACACTTTTACATGGTTTTTAAAAAATAAAAATATAGTTTTAGAAAAAAAAAAGAATTTTAGATATTTAGTCTCAAATCCTCTACTTGTCTTTCTGTATAATATAAAAATATTTGAAACATTTATAAATGAAATCAACATCCTAAATTTATAAAGCCTCAATTGTGTAGCTTTCTGTGCTCTCAAATCTCTGCTCTAAAATTCTAATGGAGATTCACATTCAAACTCCCCTCTCACTCATCCTCCTCCTCCCTTTCTTCTTCTTCACCTTCCTTCCATTATCATCCCAAGCATGCCACCAAGTAGACAGAGACGCATTGCTGGATTTCAAACATTCAATCAACCCTCTTAATCTCTTACAAAGTTGGATACCCTCCACCGATTGCTGCTCTACCTGGGATGGCATCGCCTGCGACCCCTCCTCTGGCAGAGTCGTCCAGGTCAGCCTACCAGTTCTCTCTGACAAGGTTTGCTCCATGAACGTAACTCTATCTCCTTCTCTCGGCAACCTCTCTTTCCTCCAGTTTCTAGACCTCAGCGATCTCAATCGACTCTCCGGCCCGATCCCTCCTGAGCTCGGAAAACTTTCACGCCTCTCTTACCTTTACCTCAGTAACAATTGTCTCTCTGGTGAGATTCCGGTGTCTCTCGGGCGACTCACCCGGCTGAAGATACTTCATTTGAGTTGGAATCTTTTATCTGGCTCTGTTCCTTCAGCTCTGTTCCATTCCATGCCTCTGCTTTATGACCTGGATCTTTCATATAATAATCTTTTTGGTGTGATTCCTTCTTCGATTGGAAAATTGATTTCTCTAATCAATCTCGAGCTACAATCAAACAGGTTCTATTTCTGTTAGATATTGTGCTTTTTCCGCCCCATAATGCACTGAAAATTGGATTTTTTTACTTAAAATTTAGCTTTTTCTTTCTCCATTTTTTCCAAATTCAGTCTAATTTCTATTTTCTCAGCTTAATATTTATAAATCTTTACCGCATTTAATCCAATTTTTGATGTAAAAGTTAGATTTTTGTACTTATTCTAATTTTTGGAATCATAGGATCCCATGGATAGCAGTTTCCATACCTTCTGCGGAAAAATTTTCAAAAAGCAAGTTTCAGAATTATCATAAATTATTCTAACTTAGAAATGAAAGGGGTAATAATATGAAAACAAAAGAGTGACGAAGATTTTAATTATATTTTGTTTTTGGAAACACAATAAGAAAAGCTCAAGTAATTAAATTAAATCTAAATTTTGACATGTATTGCAATTTCCACGAAAACAGGTTCTCGGGTAATATTCCAAGGAGCATTGGCAAGCTCACGAAGCTCGAATACCTTGTTTTATCTCAAAATCAAATTCGTGGAAGCATCCCTTCGTCCATCGGAAAGCTCACCCATATCCAGAGGCTATATTTTGATAACAACATGCTCACTGGAGAACTCCCTACGACCATCGGAGATCTCACCAATCTTGACGGGTTATACCTATCGGGGAACCAATTCTCCGGTGAAATTCCAATTCAGCTTGCCAAGTTGTACAATTTAGAATATTTGGACCTGTCAAGTAATGAATTGACAGGGAAATTGCCTCCATGGATCGGAAACATGACAAGCCTTGCCTTCTAAACCTCTCCTACAACGGCTTTCATTCGTCAATCCCCCATGAATTCAAGAACTTGTCAGGGCTGCGTTACCTTGATCTCCATTCAAATGAGCTCTCGGGACCAATAAACACGATTTTGGACAAAAAATTGACAACTCATTTGCGCCTTTGGGTTACATCGACCTCTCCGACAACAAATTTTCGGGTCCCATAGACGAAAATATCGGTGAGAAACCAGCCATGGCCCGTATTGAATCTTTGATTTTGTCGAACAACCCGTTGGGAGGAACGATACCGAGGTCACTTGGGAACTTAAGTAGGTTGCAGGTAAGCGTTCCTTTTGTGTAATAATTCTACGTTCGTATCAAAGTATTCTAAAAATTTTATTAAAATTATAAACAATTGCAGGTTTTAAAAATGGCGGGGAGTGGACTTTCCGGCCTGTTCGAACGTTGATTACCAGAGAGTTTGATTGTAAGTTAAATTTTATAATTATGTTTTGCAGTCAAAATTTTTAAGTTACAGTAACTCTAAAAAAAAATTTTGGATAGTGATGTTTCTGACTTATGTAATATTTCTACAATTATTTCAATAGTGTTGACTTGGGATGGCCATGTTATGCCTCTGTTAGCCCTTGTTTTTGAGCCACGTTGCTCCGGCAATTAGATTAAAATTTTCCTTTAAATTAGAATTAAAGTTTTAGTAGAATTAAAATATTTTCTCTTTATATTTTTATTTAATCTTCATATTAATTAATTAGATCAAAATATTATTAAAACCTTAAAAATTTGTCACTCCTATTGTAACACCCAAAACCAACTTCAAGAAAAAGAAAAAAAAAAGAAAAGAAGAAAAATTCTTAAATTATTTTGGATTGAGTTTTAATTTTATTTAGAGGGAATTTTGAGGTATTTGGGAAGATAGGAAGTGTATTGGAAGTTTTGGAAGAAATGAAATTTTTGTCAAAACAAAAAAAAAAAAATCTCAGGTTACTGTAGCACTGTGCCACGGCGCAATCCAGGTGCGTTGCAGCACGATGCTCACTGGTTTTGCCACGCTATAGCGTGGCAGACACTGGATTTTGGCCACTGCAGTGCGCTAAACGCGTTTTTTTGCCTTTTTCATGAAAATTTGAATTTTCAACCCCTCCAAGGACCCTAAACTCTCTTAAACTCCTAAAAACCATAAAACAAAGATTTGGGAGATATCCTAGGGCACCAAAATTTATCCAAAAATTAATTAGGATTAAAATTGAGGGTAATTTTAAGGAAGGGCAAGATGGTCTTTTTGGCTTAAGTGAGTGTTTTAAAGTTTGAAGGAAGCCTTCTAGGGCTCATTTTGCCCAAATAGAGAGAGGAAAAGAGGGAATGAGAGAAAAATGAGAAAAGAAGAAGAATGTATGTATTTTGGCCCAATCTCAAACCCCTTTGGTTTTTCTTCAATATTTCTATATGTTTAGCTTCCTCTCTTCATTTTATAACTTTTAATCGGTGTAGATTTTGTATTTAGATGTTATTATGTGTTGTAGAGAGAGAAAGTGGGTTGACCCTCACCCATGGAATATTTTGCTTGAATCTTTATATTTCTTAATAAAGTAACCTTAGATATTATTTTATTTGATGATATTTATGTTGTTATAGTTGGATTAAATCTTGAATGAAGTATTTATGGTAGAAATGTGATAGAAATGGGTGAGATAATGTTTGAAATGTATAAAGGCATGTTTGGTTGGAGTTAAAATAGAGGAAATGGAATAAGGGCATGTTTAGATGAAACCCAAAGGCTAGAGATGGAGGAAAAGTGTTTTTATACGTTGTAGGGTATAGTTATTGCTTTCGTATGAAATATTTAGAGTATTTATCTCATGTTGTGTATTCCCTTTGTAGGAAAGGATACCCCAGTCATCTCAGACCCTGAACCTACAGCTTTAAGAGCAACCTTGTAGGCTCATATTGTACGGTGAGTGGGAATCTTCCTAATCTTAGTTTATTTCCGCAAACTATGATTTACAATGAACAATGCTCATTTCAAACCCATATATATGTTGTTACTAAGAACATGGGAAACAGTTCAATTATGTTATGATTTCGAGTATATACTTAATTTTATGATTTCATGAGTTTATGTTATTTTGGTGCCTTAGCACCCAGACATGAGGTCGGGCAGCCATCTGGGACAGATGGCGTTCTACTTGCATTACATGACATATGTATGTTATTCTCCCTAGTGAAAAGGGACCATGCACTAAAGACTGTGTTAGTTTGGCCGGGAAGTGGCGACCCCTAGCGCGAGCTACAGACAGTGACTAACCGACAGATAGGAAGACTGAGACCACTACGAGGACAGATGGGGGATCGGTGTCGATGTCTAGCCCGACACCGAGGGAGCCAAGGTCAGCAGCGGCTAGCCCCATCAGGAGGTAGTTGAGGGCGTAGAGGTCGAGATTCAGGGACTGCATGAGTGGAGATGTTTCTGTAGTCGGGAGATCAGGAGGTCGGGTCCCACAGTGTCCCAACTGTGGAAGCCACATTCCGGAGAGTGTCGTAAGGGCACGGATGTTTGTTATAGATATGGTCAGGTAGGCCACATTAAAAGGAACTGTCCACAGTTAGCACAGGGCAGTGGAGCTACTATTGGGCCGACCACATCTCAGGGATCACAGGCTAGAGGGACTGGAGGTCAGTCTAGTAGACGAGGAGGCACTACAGGGAAGCCCACAGCAGAGGCGCGAGTATACGCTATGACCCGCCAGGAGGCTAGAGCGGCTCCAAACACGGTTACTGGTATTCTCACTATCCTTAACGTTGATGCTTATGCCTTTATTGATTCTGGATCCACTTATTCATATATATCATGTGCATTAGCTGAGAGATTGGGGTTAATGGTGGATAGATTGGATCATGATATAGTTGTTTCTACTCCCGTGGGAGGAACCTTGTCAATAGCGGGTTGGGTGTTTATAAAAATTGTAAAGTACAGATTGATGGATAGGAATTGATATGAGATTTATTACCATTAAACATGCATGATTTGGATTTAATTTTAGGTATGGATTGGTTGACAGCCTACAAGGCTAAGGTGAATTGTTTTAAGAAGGAAATTACTTTTCAGTTATCAGATGGCAAGGAGATAAGCTTTTTAGGAGAAAGACATGTTTTACCTTCATGTATAATTTCTGCCATGACAGCTAGGCGATTGTTGAAAAAAGGATGTGAGACTTATTTGGCAAGTATAGTAGATATGGAGTTGCAAACTTCTAAAGTGACTGAGATACCTATTGTTTGTAAGTTCCCGGATGTTTTTCCCGAGGAGTTACCGGATTACCACCAAGAAGAGAGGTGGAGTTTTGTATTGATTTGATGCTAGGTACTCAACCCATTTCTAGAGTTCCATACCGAATGGCCCAGCGGAACTAAAGGAGCTAAAGACTCAGTAACAAGAACTTCTTGATAAAGCATTCATCTGACTAGTACATCACCGTGGAGAGCTTCGATGTTGTTTGTTAAAAAGAAGGGCGGTATTTTGAGGTTATGTATTGATTACAGACAATTAAACAAGGTAATTGTCAAAAATAAGTACCCTCTGCCACGAATAGATGATCTCTTTGACCAGTTGTGCGAGGCTACAGTGTTTTCTAAGATTGATTTGAGATTGGTTATCACCAACTTCGGATAAAAGCCGAGGATGTTTCTAAGACAGCTTTCAGGACTAGATATGGTCACTATGAGTTCCTCGTAATGCCATTTGAGCTAACTAATGCCCTAGCCACCTTTATGGATTTAATGAATAGAGTATTCCGGCATTTTCTAGATAAGTTCGTTGTGGTATTCATAGATGATATCTTGATATATTCGAGGGACAAAGCTGAGCATGCAGAACATTTGAGGACAATGTTACAGATACTGAGGGAAAAAACAACTATTTGCTAAGTTGGGTAAAAGTGATTTTTGGTTAGACAGGGTGATATTTTTGGGGCATGTGATCTCAGCAGAGAGAGTTTTTGTAGATCTCCAAAAGGTAGAAGCCATATTACGGTAGAGCCACCCACTAATACTACTGAGGTGAGGAGTTTTCTTGGGTTGGCTGGTTACTATAGGCGGTTTGTGGAAAATTTTTCTGTGATTGCATCTCCTCTAACCAAGTTTATTAAAAAAAAGTGAGAGATTTCTTTGGACTCAAGAGTGTCAAGATAGCTTTGAGGAGCTTAAGAGGAGATTGATTACAGCTCTAGTGTTGACTTTGTCAGAAAATGGGAAAGGGTATACAGTTTATAGTGATACCTCTGGAAAGGAATTAGGTTGTGTATTGATGCAAGATGGTTAAAGTGATTGCCTATGCTTCTAGACAGTTAAGGCTCACGAGCAGAATTGCCCCACTCATGACCTAGAGTTAGCAGCAGTGATGTTTGCTTTGAAGATTTTGAAACATTACTTGTATGAAGAACATTGTCAGATCTTCACAGACCATAAGAGCCTCAAGTATATTCTAACCCAGAAGGAGTTAAATCTCAGACAGAGACGATGAGTGGAACTCCTGAAAAACTATGACTGCACTATTGAGTACCATCCAGGAAAGCCAATGTGGTGCAGATGCCCTAAGTAGGAAATCTTCAAGTGGGTTGTATAATCTTAGGGTAGTATATATGCCTTTACTGTTGGAGCTTAGATCTTTGGATGCACAATTATCAGTGACGGATCATGGAGCGTTGCTAGTAAGATTTCAAGTTAGACCCACTTTGGTAACTTAGATTAAGGAAGCTCAAAGACAAAATCCACGGTTAGTAAAGATTTTGGAAGAGATTGAAAAAGGGCAACTAGTGAATTCAAAGTGACAGAAGATGGTACCTTGAGGTTTAGAGACAGAGTTTGTGTGCCCCAGGTTGGTGAGCTTAGGAGACAGATTATGGAAGAAGAGGCACATTGTTCAACATATGCTATGCATCCTAGGAGTACAAAATGTGCCATAACCTAAGCAAAACTACTGTTAGAGCGGGATGAAAGAGAGATTGCATATTATGTTTCTA